GAAACAAGTAATAGGAAGGGAATTCCAAAGCAAGGAGGTGCGGGACATGGAGCTATTGCAGTAGAAGAGACGACCATATTTTCGAAAGTGAAAGGATTGGACTGTTATGCCGTCCTCGTATCACGCTTAAATTCGCCTAGTCTGGGAACTAACGAAAGTAGCTCGTCAGAGCAGTTACCGTTAAAGTATCTGTAGAAAAGAAGACGGAGGCGACTGCACGTCTGTGAAAGAGCGACTGTAGGCGAGATACCAGATCAGGACCAATCACATTGCATATGCTTCTTTGGATTTTGTCGAGAACCTTAAGGCGAACAGCAGGGGCACCAGACCGTAAATGGCTGCAGTATTTCATGCAAGGGCGAATGGTTGATTTATAGATTAAGAGGATGGACTCAGGCGAGAAAAACTTTCTGGTGCGACAGAGGGAACAAGGTCTCCTTGCAGTGGATGAAGCAATTGATTCAATGTAATTGTTCCATCTCAGGTCAGCGGACAGTGTGAGGCCAAGCAGTCGCAAGGAGGTGTTCTCGTGGAGTTGAGCATCAGACATTCTCATGGGTGACAGGGATGGTTCTCTTATATATAGATATATATATATATATATATATATATATATATATATATATATATATATATATATATATATATATTTTGAGGAATAGAAGTTTAACATATTTAGATTTTATTTAATTTTATTAGAAATGAAATATGGAGAATGAAATAAAATTCTGAAGTGTTTATGTACCTTTATATTTTATCTTTTCTCCGCCATATTTCTTTTTTCTGATAACGCTTAAATAAAAGCGATACATGCTAATTTTATGAAAGTTTTCTATTTGCATTTTATCCTATCATTCTGTTGAATTCTAAAATTTTATATATAATTTAGGTGTTGTTCATATTTTTAATGACCTCTGTATCTTTTTAAACCTAACTCCGTTTTTATGTATTGTGTTTGTGTGTGTTTCTTTTCGTATGTTTTTTAGAAAAATATGATAAATTGGAAATTTTTTTTAGTGACGTCTTTAAACTATACGAGGAAAAACATTTACCTTCCACCTTTCTCTTACCAATCCTAATTGTTTTAAGTAAGAAAAATTTCTCCACCAATCCAAGACGAATATGGATCATTACCACGAAAAAAAAAGAACAGTTAAACATAAGAAAACATAAAGAAAAAAATAGTTTCTTTAAATAATATGTGGAAATGACCATTCTTCGGCTGTGATGGTCACAACACATGAAACACCTATAGCAATAAAAAAAATATGGAAAATAAATTATATATATATATATATATATATATATATATATATATATATATATATATATAAAAAATATTAAATACACAAATAAAAACTACACAATAAAAGCAAAAATATTTGCGGCTTCTCTTTTTCTTTAGAATATGTACTTTTTCCTCTTTGGAACAACATTAACCTCTTATCTATCTATCTATCTATCTATCTATCTATCTATATATATATATATATATATATATATATATATTACTTAAAGGTTATTTTAGGGGGCTACTTGTATTTGAGTAGACGCTCCGTTGAGTTATTAGACCGTCAATTTATTTATTTTCGACTACAGTCTTGAATATTCGAAAACTCTTCTTAAAGATATATGATGTGCTCTCATTTAAGATTTGAACAGACTTTTCTTCAATGCATATTTTCATCTAATAAGATTTCTCGAAAATTCAGGCCGGCAAACGAAAATAAATAAATATAATGTTTAATAACTAAACGGAGCGTCAACTTAAATACGAGTATCGAAGACATATCTGTTGCATTAAGAATAAAAATATCCTTTTCCTTAAAAAGACACACACACACACACACACACACACACACACACACACACATACATATATATATATATATATATATATATATATATATATATATATATATATATATATATATATATATTCCTTTCTGCCGGGTACAGTTTAACTTGTGTATGTATCTACAAAAACACTTATTTTCCCCCGCGACATTGCAAAATGAATCAAATCTATTTCATGCAAATTTGGTAGACTACAGACACTTGCACTTGTCACTTGCCCGCCGCCGTAGTCTTACCTCTGTGTTTTTTTTTTCTTCTTTTTTCTGTTTTTTTTTATAAATATTTTCATGGTGATTGCTCGGATACAATCTTCACTATGGTACCTAGACTGTATGACTTTAAGCGCAATACTAGAATGGCGGTGAGAGCTCATCAATTTACAGTTGAGCTGGCTAGATGCAACCGTAAGTTTTATGCTAACAGTTTCTTCTCTCGCAATTCTCGCTTCTGGAACTCCTCCTGATTAAATATTTCTAACCAATTTTAATCTTCAAATTTAAATTGCAATGACAATCGCTATCTACTGTTCACGTGATTATCTATCTATCTATCTATCTATCTATCTATCTATCTATCTATCTATCTATCACGGACAAGGCATCACAATATATATATAGGAAGCACGTTGGAGTAGAGGACTATCTATCTATCTATCTATCTATCTATCTATCTATCTATCTATCTATCTATCTATCTATCTATCACGGACAAGTTATCACAATATATACAAGGAAGCACGGTGGAGTAGTGGATGGCGTCTTGGACTGAGGAATCGGAAATGCCAGGTTCGAATCCCAGTGGAATCCATTACTTCCATGCTAATACACTTCTTCTTCTTCTCATGGGTAAATAGTAGGACGGACTGGGTTCTATAACCTTGAATGGCAACCGGTCTAGGAGAAGGACAACTCTGAATTCAAGACCTGCCGAGGTTCGTTTTCGGACTTTTTGTCACGTTGTGCACCAGCTCTCTGTATTCGCCTCTTCAAAAAGTGTTGTTAATTCTGAACCAAGCCTTCACCAGTATATTGAAATCATATATGCCGGTGTCTGGCTGTCGGTTCCCTCATAACTCGAATACGACGGGACAGTCCACCATATATATATATATATATATATATATATATATATATATATATATATTTTTGTGTGTATGTGGGTGTGTTTATAACTGAGACAAAAAGAACAGTAAAGTAAAATTTAGCTGTTCGTAGCATCTACTTTTTAAAAAAAATTCTCAATACAAAAGAGAGCAATTTATTATTATTATATTTTTGATATTAGAACAAAATATGATGAAATCGTTACACAATAGCTTCCGTGTTTCGGTACGACGTTGTACCTCTTCAGCCGAATGGTAATTGACTGGTGATACAATATTCTGTGTAAAATTTCCAAAGCAAAATGTTACCCCTTTTCTAAAAGACAAAGTGGCGGGGAGGTATAAAACAACACATGGACAGAACGAAAAAAGTGATTTTTGGTTTTGTCTTGATCAACCAGTTAAATTTTAGATCTATGCTTAATAGAAAATTAAACTCAGAGTGGGCGGGTTGGGAAGTTATTTTTTTTTTCATGACATGACAATCCAGAACTTCGACAGGTCCTCATTGACAATTACTGATAACATGTAAGCAACAAATGTATTGCAATTGTAGACAAATAGGACATGTTCTGTCTTCCAAAAGACGCTGAGGGGAGGTGAAGGAGGGTAACCTGTCGTTAAGTTAATTTCAACAGAATTTGATTTTTTTTTTAATTTTCTATTCGAGTAAAGATTGAGTCTAACTGAAAAACAAAAAAGAAAATGCGATTCATCTTTTAAACTGAAGGAGTGATTCCCAGTAAATCGAAAGGGAGCTTCAAGAATGGAGTTAAGAGTGAAAGACATGAGTTAAAACTTAGTTGTGGACCAACGTGACGGGCGGGATTTAGTTACGTCATGTGACGAAAACTTTTCGCCAATGACTTATGAGTGCGAGTCTGGAAAGAAATGATGAACGGAGCGTATGAGCGTACGGCAGCAAGAAGCGAAAGACGACAGACGAAAGAAGCGACCAGGCGAGGCTTGACGCAACTGCACACAAGCACAGTACGCGGGAATACAAACGGAGCGGGGGAATGACAGAATGCTGTATTTCAACGATCGAACGAATGGAATAAGAGAGGCCATTGCGCATAGACAGTCAGACTGAGAGATGAACAGTTGTGTCAATAAAGAAAGGAATAACCGAGAAAAGAGACTTAAAACTGCAAGATGTCAGAGATAAAATACACACTAGCACAGCTACGGACACACACGCACACACGCACGCACACACGTGCGCGCACATATACACACGCGAGTACACACGTGGGCGAACACATACGCACATACACACGCGCGTACATGGACACACACGCAAAATACAAGCACACACAGAAGCAGACACACACACACACACACAAAAACACACACAAACACAAACACACACATGAAGGCGCAGTCACACACACACAGACACACACACACACACACACACACACACATATATATATATATATATATATATATATATATATATAGATAGAGAGAGAGAGAGAGAGAGAGAGAGAGAGATGGAGAGATGGAGAGAGAGAGAGTGGGGTGTAGAGAGAGAGAGAGAGAGAGAGAGAGAGCGGCAGATACATATGGATATAAATATATAGAGAGAGTGAGATAGAATCTGAAATGTAAATTTAATGCCACCACAATTTTCTGCAATCGGATTCACCAATCATGGAAAATGTGTGATGTAAACACATGCACACACAAACACATACACAAAACACTCTCATACCAACACACACGCACAAAGACAGTCTGTGAGAAAATGGTAATAATTAATCTCATGACTTTTCAGACAATACACACACAAATACGTGCACACACACATATATACACGTATATATATATATATATATATATATATATATATATATATATATATATATATGTGTGTGTGTGTCACTCTTGTTCTCTATCCACACACACACACACACACACACACACACACATATAAATATATAAATATAAATATATAATATATATATATATATATATATATATATATATATATATATATATATATATATATATATATATATATATATATACATGCTCTATCCCTAATTTTGAACAGTTTACCCTATGAATATATCTTAACTTAAAACTATATTGAAAACACTCTAACGTCCCAATTTTAACATTCCTATTGCCGTTAAGATAAACTGAGTAAATTAATATTGTTCCAATTCTCACCAAAGACTGAACAGTTCTTCCAAGATCTATACGCGAAGCTGATAAACACGCACTTCAAAGTGGTCAGATAAATAGAATAGACCAAAGTATACACTTACGGAACGCAAGAAAGTGTCGAAATTGATGATGCAAGTTTTCTTATGCAGAAAGGGGCTTATCATGTTATTCACTTCATACCGCAGATCTGCAATCTAATCGCCTGACTCAAAGTAGTGTAAACGATGTAACAAGTTCTGAATCATACGGTCTTCTTATATTTTCAGCCAGGACACATTTACCTCTCAACTGTTCCAAGGAATTGATGACAGTCAATTTTCTCAATTGTATCACTTGCGAAATTTGTCCTCATAGCGTTCCTGTTTTGAATACCTTAGAGAAAAGAAAAGAAGAAAAAAAAACAGTGGTCTCACATGACGTAGAATTGTTTTAAAGCTGCCATCGGGTAGATAACAACGAGTAAGAACATGGAACAGAACTACACGAAACACATTGGTTATCGTTGTGTATGAGAGCGATTCTATCGAATATTTCTGTTTTTCTCAAGTAAATATGTGTAAAAAAGATACACTCACACAAACATACACATACATACATGGCTACATATATATATATATATTATAATTATTTTTTTAAATATGATTCCTTCGCTACATAATAGTTCTCAAGTTTCATAAACGAGAGCCGAAAACCTCAATATAATTATTAAAATAAATTGAGTTATATTATCAAGTCCTGTTTCATCCTCAAGCGAAAATTTATTTTAATAATTATATTGACGATTTCTTCTTTCGTTTCTGAAACATGTACCGAAGGAATCATATTTTTTTAAAAAAAATAATTATAATTTAAGCTCTACTTCTGTATGGAGCACTGTATTATAAGAATAAAAACAAAAATACTAAAGAACTCCGGATTATTTACCTAACATGTTCTTTCCTATTTTTCTACACACACACACACACACACACACACACACACACACACACACACACACACACACACACACACAAACATATATATATATATATATATATATATATATATATATATATATATGGGATAAAGATATATACATTATTATGTATCACGAAGAGTTTGAAAGAAAAGGTGTATCCCATAAAGTATTCCAGTTTTTTATACATTTCTTTCAGTATATATATATATATATATATATATATTAGATAAGATACTAGCAGTAGATCCCGGCGTTGCCTGGGGATGTAATATTAAAAGATAAATCAAATATCGACCATCATAAAGTCGGAAAAATAAAATTGACAAAGGTTATTGTTTAAGGGTGACGGACTCGCAGGTCTTAATTAGTTTTTTTTTACGAATTGGTCAAACCCAAACGTAAACAAAATCATTGTTTTTAATCGTTATGAGTCTACCGATTGAATATAATCTTATTATAAACAATTGTCTTGTAAATGGAATTTTTAAAGCATTTTGAATGTAAAAATAAACTAAAAAGTGTGCAAGACAATAAAAAACACTACCTGCCAAAAAAAGTGAAGTTTTGTTGAAATCGGTTGAAAAATGTAGAAAATCCGATCCCATATATAATCGAACACAGACACACACAAACAACCTGGGTTTTATAATAAGTATAACTCGATATGAGTTGTCCCCCTTTCATTCGGGCGACTTAATCGTGTTTTCAAATTGATTTCGTGCAAAAACAATTGTGTTTTTCCAATTTTTGGCGCTGTCAGAACCACCGCAAGGTAATTTTACGTAGTCCTGTGAAGTTTTGTTGAAATCGGTTGAAAAATGTAGGAAATCCGATCCAATATATAAACGAACACACACACACACACACACACACACACACACACACACAAACAAACAAACAAACAAACAAACAAACAACCTGGGTTTTATAATAAGTATGATTAGATCAAGTGTCTGTTTCGTATAGGTATACAGGTTCGATTCCTGACGGTGAGCGCATATTTTCTACGAAATTTCTTGAGCATTCAGATCGGAAATTGTAATTAATACTGTTTAATTAAAATCAAAGCATTTACTTAAATAAATTGTATCTATATTTTAACGTGTAAACAGTAAACATATTAAATATTTGTCGAATTTTTTTCCCTTTCATTATTTGATGCCATTGTTTAAGATAAGTTACATTTTGCGAGTAGATATGATCGATCTAGAAAAATCGTCAAAAATTGGATGTTTATAAACATATGAACTTTGCTAACCAGAAGTTTCTCTGTAGCCAAATGGCATATCACGTCAGATCAAATGACGGTTTCTGTTCTGCAATAAAGATTCGATTCCTGTCGGGGAATGCATGTCTACGAAACTTCTCGAACATTAAGACTGTAAATATAATTAATAGTGTTTAATTT